TTAACCCAATCTAGTTCATTGTCTCCCTGGGCACACGTCTAGACCTTTCCCAGCGTTCCCTGCAGTGCCCACAGGAATGAGCTCTCGCTAGCGGGAGGCAGATAGGACGGCTGAACGTCACTTCCAGGACTGTCCTCTGAAACCTCTCCCACTGAAATCTTCCCTGGATTGTCTCTCGCTCTTTAGCCAGCAGGATGCAAACACCCAGCAGAGGACTGAGAGGCCCTATAGGAAGTGAAACCACTAGATGAAAGATTCTGAGTCCCTCAGAGACTACAAAGAACAGAGCCCCCCAGCCCAACAGACACACACACGCACACACACATAAACATGGGCCACACTGGCTATGAGATGAACAAAAAATAACCTTATTGCGTTAACCCACTGAAATTTTAGGGTCGTTTGTCACAGCAGCTAATGTTACTTACCCTATCTAACACACACGTGGGTTTCATTAACAGATAGAATGAGAAAATATATTTACAGTGCCTGGTTCTATGCCTGACATATAGCAGGTGTCTGGCACTGTGCCAGAAACACGGTAGGTAGTAAATAACTGAGCTTCATTTTGCAGGACCAGAGCGAGGATTCCACTGGACGAAGAGGAGGGATCAACAAGCAGCACGACCCAGAGGCATGAAGCCACATGACATAGCCAAGAGAATACAAATCGTTCCCACAGCTGCAGGTAAAGATACACCAGGGCAAGCAGATACTGGTCAGACACCAGAGCAGAGAGGCCAGCAGAAGTCAGTTCTGGAAGACCCTTTATCCTTGGCAATAAGAAACTAACAAAGTGTTCTTTTTCATTTTTAACAACTTGAGACAGAATTCAAATACCATACAACTCGTCCATTTAAAGTGTATGATTCGATGACTTGTTTATTCACGGAGTTTTGCATCCATCATCACACTCGGTTTGGGAAACTTTTCATTACCCCAAAAAGAAACCCTGCGTCCCTTAGCTGTCACTCCCCAATCCTCCTCCTGGATATGTGCCTAGAAGCAGTGAAGGGTTTTTAAAAGATCACTCCCTGACCTACCACTGCCCAAGGCCCGACACGACGCACGCATGCACGTGCACACACACTTCTTTCATCATCCTCACGATGTAAGTGTGAAGACCAGCCCCAGGGACCTTACACTCCCCACCAGCTGAACCACTCAGGTGCCCGCCCCTGCACACCAGGCCCTGGTTTCCCGCCTCTGCAAGAAACACTTGAGGAAGCTTAGCTGAGCCGGCCTTGGCCTCAGGCAAATTCACACCTTTGGGTTCTGCTTCCTGGTCCCTCCCCCTCCAAAGACTCCTTCCTTCCCTCCCTCCCTGTCCTGCCACACATCCCTTTCCCCTTCCCTCAAAGGGACAGAGCCTAGAAGCGATCAACAACAGCAGTCCACCGTGGTCACACTTGCAGAAGTCCCTGGAATTCTCTCAGAACCCACGTGCATGGAAGACAGTATTGTCCTCGTGTTATTGGGTTGGCCAAAAAGTTCGTTCGGGTTTTGCCCAAGACATTACGAAAAACCCAAATGAGCTTTTTGGCCAACCCAATAGAAGTGGGGAAACTGAGGTTCAGAGAGTTCAAGTACTGTTCCTAAGGCTGCACAGCAGGTGAGTGTCAGAGCCAAGCTTCCACCCGAAGCGCGGAGACGCGGGCAGCATTTATGACCACTCTCAGCAGTGTGAACAAAACTTCCAAACACCAGCTTAGTCAGATGGGGATGGTTTCTTCTCACCCAGCAAGAGGTCCAAGTGAGGAACTGGAACAGCACATCCTTAGCGACAGCCAAGTCCCAAGCTCCTTGTGTCCCTCTGCTTTGCCATCCTTAGTCTGGGGCTTTCATTTTCATGATCAAAATTCCTACTCTAGACCTTGTGCTTTTTTTTTTATCAGAAAAGCAAGAGCTCTCCCAGAATCTCCATTCAGTAGGCGTCTCTTCCATCTCATTGTAACATTCCTGCTACAAACAAAATTAGCATTTGTCACCAAGGGAAAGAGGAGAATGGGTGCTGGGTAGGGAAGCAGCTGTGCAGGCTCTGAGCAGAGTCCAGACCCTTCGGCCTCTCACATTCGATCTGCACTGGCTGAGGCCTGCTGCCCACCACTTCCTCCGCTCTCCAGCATGCGCTGGGCTAAACCACAAGGTGGGGCCTAGAGCTTCGGGAGAAAGGAAAGCCTTTCTAGATCATCAGCGTGATCAGCTGAGTGCACGTTCCCACGGGCAAGGGAAGAGGTTGCTCATTTCCTCTGGTTCAGCGGAGAAAAGTCCCCACTTTGGAAAGAGTTAGAAAGCCCTGGGAATACACCCGCCCTCAACTTTCAAGCACTCACAGCTGCTGCAGGCCTTAATGGAAAAGGATCTGATGCACTCATTTCCAGGCCTGCCACAAAGCCCTTCTGCAGAAACTTCAGACTCTCAAAAGGGCTCAAGAATAAATTATGCATTAATCACCATCTGAAGATGAATGGAAAAGATCAGACACATATAATTTCTGGCAGCATTAACCTAGAAGCTGGGGGTTCGGGGGCTGGAGGGCAAGAGGTGATATGGTGAGATGGGAAGAAAAGGAGCCTCTCGGGGGCACTGACTTTACCTAGATCCATCTATCTTGTCCTCCATTCCCTCTGGCTGAACATGCCCACGTGACTGAGGAAGGTGGATCATGGGATATTTTCACCAAAGAAAAGAGCCTTCCTTGCAGGGCTGAATGCTGAGGCCTGGTCCCCTGGAGGTTATGACATGTTGAACCACTCCTCCCACATCTCACACTTCTGAACAAGGTGTGATGTGAACCTCACCCACGGTGCCTTCTTCCCGGGCCCAGAATGCTCCCTGCTCTCTGAATATTAAACCTCTGAGAAGCCTTGCTGAGCATCATCTTGGGTTTTTAGCAAACACCCTTTAAAACCGAGACCCTGGGGGGAAAATGTTCCATGCAAAGTACTATGTCATGGAAGGATTACAGGCTTCAGGGGCAGCAGCCCTGGATTCCAGACCTGGATTCTAGCTTCACCATGAGCCTCCCTGGTCCCTGGTCATCAGTCAGTCTTCTCATCCATAAAACGAGGGTTGGAATTAGTGGAGACTAAAGATCACTTCTGGCTCCCATTCTATGTGTCTAGGGATGGACTCAACGTGGTATTTCCTTTTTGTATGAATTTTCTCAGAAAACGTGAATTAATCAAGGATATTCATGACAATGACATTTGAGTGATTACTATGAGCTCTGGCAAAGTACTTCAACCTGGTAACTCTCAATCCTCACAGCAATCCTCTGTGGAGTAGGTGGGTATCATTAACAGCTCCAATCTCCTGATGAGGTGACCAAGCACAGGGAGACAAGTAATCAGCCACTCCATTTCCACTGGGATGTCTTAGAGGCATCTCCGATTTAGCAGGTTGGAAACTGAACTCCGGACTCCCCCACTCCACCCCAGCCAAACCTGCTTCTCTCTCCATCTGCCCCTGCTCAGCAGATGGCAACTCCTTCCTTTCTCATACCCAGGCCAGAAGGCTTCAAGTCTCTCCCACCTCCAATTCATCACAAATCACGTCAGCTCTGCTCTCAAAAAATAACTGGAATCCACAGTCTCTTACCACTCCCAGTGCGACTACCCTAGCCTACGCCTTCACCCTGTGTTGTCTGGACCACAGCAAGAGTCTTCTTACTGGTCTCCCATTTCTAGCCTCTGTTCCCCATCACGTGCACACACATACGTGCACACACACAAGCACACGTGCACACACGCACACACTGAGTATTTTTTATACCACAGCCAGCATGACCCTTTGCAAATGTAAGCTATGTCATTCCTCTGTTCAAAACTTTCAGTGATTTCCTATCTCACTGAGGGTAAAATCCAAAGTCCTTACGCTGGCCTGCAAGGTCCTCCAAGCCCTCCCCCACCCCACCCTCTCTCCTCCCCTCCCCTCCCCCCCCCACTCTTCCTTCAGCGCACCAGGCATCCTCCCGGCTCAGCCCTGGCCCGGCCACCCTTCCCCAGATATCCCAATGGCTTGCTTCACCACCTCGCTTCCGTCTCTCCACTGAACCGTTTCTCTGACTAAATAAAACAGCACCTCCCTCATCTGTCTGTGTCCCCCTAGCTTGGTCTGTTTTTCTCTTTAACTCGCATCTCCACCTGCCATGGTTTATATTATTTGTTTATTTTTGTGTCCTTCTCCCCCTACCAAAGGTAAGCTCTGTAAGGACAAAGGCTGCGTGTTCACTGTTAGGCCCCCAGGGCTGAAAGAGTGCCTGGCATTTTAAACAGTCACTCAGTGTGACCTGTGGTGGTGATCATTTTGCAATGCATAAGTGCATCAAATCAACATGCTGGACACCTTAAGCTTACACAGTGTTATATGTCAATTATACCTCAATAAAGCTGGAAAAAAATAAACCATTCAATAGATACAGGTGGCCCTTGTTATCTGAGTCTTATCTGTACCTGAAATTCCACTGGATAGGGAATTTGTGGGTAGCAGAAACCCATATTCTATTACATTAAAGGGAAAAATAAATAATGTGTTCCCTATACCACCTATATTCCTAATCACCTATAAAACAACCCACTGTGGATTTCTGCATGTCATTTAATACACCAATTACCTAATTACTTGACTCTTAATGAACTCATTAGTGAATATGCTTGTGTGCAGTATGCTTCAATACTGAAAGAATTACATTTTCCTTCTACACAGAAAGGAACTATATACTGTAATATAAATAAACAATAAAATGATTTGTTAAAGGTACATAATGAATGCCAATATAATTACCAAAACAAAATAAACAGGTTTCTTTTAATTACCTTTTTTATATAAATTTGTGGCTGCGTTGGGTCTTCGTTGTGGTGCGCGGGCTTCTCATTGTGGTGGCTTCTCTCGTTGCGAAGCACAGGCTCTAGATGCACGGCCTTCAGTAGTTGTGGCGCGCAGGCTTCAGTAGTTGTGGCGTGTGGGCTCTAGAGCACAGGCTCAGTAGTTGTGGCGCATGGACTTAGTTGCTCCGCGGCATGTGGGATCTTCCTGGACCAGGGCTCGAACCTGTGTTCCCTGCATTGGCAGGTGTATTCTTAACCACTGCGCCACCAGGGTTTAAATGCTTACTGACTCAAGGCAGAGCTGGCCAAGTGAGACGCAGAAGTTACTGAACGGCACAACTGTGGGGAGAGAAAAGTCAAAGTGAGCTGGGGAAGGAGCAAGTGAGACCATCCAACACCCAATGCACAAACACTTCTTAATCATGGAAGCAGTAGGCAGTCTTCTCTTCTCAGCATTCAGGAGTCTGGAAATGGATGGATAACTGTGGATCATCGCCCAAAGTCACAAATGAGGCAGCAGGGTTTTTAGAAAAACACTAAAAACAGGCATCTGTTTTAACTACTATGTAACTATATAATTTATTATCCACACTGGGGACAATTTTGAAAGTGAAAAATATATTTTAAGAATTTTAAAAAATATATTTTTAAGCATTCATAGATTGACAAGTTGGTTTTATTATAATGGTATGCCTATAAAATAATTCCAGTGAAAAACTATTTTCAAAAATAAAATCATTTCTAAAAATAAAACAATCAATCTGTATCCATTAAAGCAAAACATTTTAAATTATTTAGATTGAGTAGTCTAAAAGGTTAAAAACAACATAAGCAGAACAGTATTCTTATTTCATAAACATTTATTGTAATAAGTTCTAGAGTCATATCTATATCTATTGCTATGCTACAGGTATTTTTCTAAAGAATGAATTTTTAATATATATTTCTATTTTTTCATAAAATTGCCTTCAATCTTTTTCAAAGTTGCATTTCATAGTTTATAAATTTAAAGTTGCTGGGACTTCCCTGGCAGACCAGTGGTTAAGACTATGTGCTTCCACTGCAGGGGGTGCAGGTTCGATCCCTGGTTGGGGAACTAAGATCCCACATGCCTCGCAGAGAGGCCAAAAAAAAAAAAAAAAAAAAATTGTTGACACCATCAGTTTGAGATAGGCTGGGACCTGGGACCCTTTGCTGCAGTGCTTGCACCTGGACAAACATCTCCTTGAGCAACAAAATACAAAGAAACTATAAGGGACTAAAAATAACTGCATGCATGGTCAGTTGGGGGCAAATTATGGAAACCAAGATACAAAAAGAACAAAAAGACCAACTGCCACTTCTGAAGAGCCTGGAGCAAAAGCAGGGTGTCAGGAGCAAAAGCAGGGTACTGGGCATGCCCCCTGCACTCAACACCACCAAAGGGGCGGGCAGACCTCCTAAGCCGCCCCTCCAGCCCGACCCCTGGACCCACCCCTACCCTCACCCCATATAAGGGACCAGTTCAACAACCCCCATCCCCCTGCCCCCGGTGAGCAGGGGAACAAGCAAGGAAGGGCATCTGTGGCTTGTTTTAGCTCCCCCTCTGCTGCAGCAGGGGCCCCAGTAAAGCCTTGCATGAATTTCTCATCTGGCCTTTTATCAATTTCTAATGATTGAGGAGGCCAAGAACCCTGGCTGGCAACAAACTGACTCTTCTCAGTTGACAGCAGTATTTCTAATTAAGAAAATAGTCTTTCTACAGGTGCTGAGATATCTGGTAAGTGAAGAAGTAATTCTGATAAATATTCTCAATTCTAATTTTTTTCTTAGTGAAATGTGTTACTATTTCAGTTCAAATCTTTTCACAGGTACCATTCTTTTGTCATTCAGGGAAACTGTGACAAATATTTTATGAGACAAAACTCATCAAGTAAGTTGTCTCTATTTATGATTTTTAAAAATGTTTTGCCAAATTTAGATGCTACACAATCACAGAACTTCACAATTTCATTCCATTCCAGTACATAATATAAATCCATCCAGTTAAATATAAAAGCTCCGTCAGAATGTTCTTCCTGTAAGATATTTCAAAGCATAAGTATTTACTCTCAAATTTAAAATTATTTAATTTCTTCAATTCCTTCTTTGGTTTTGTAGGTACAAATTTTGTTTTCAATAGTTACAGTTTCCTAAAAGCTTCCAGAGCTGAAGTCTTTTGGCTCATCATTCCTTGAATACTTGATTAAAAATTACCAACTTATTTTAAACAAAATGCAAACAAAATTTAGAGTACTAGTTTGTTTAAAAATATTTTTTTAAGTAAAAGGTCACTGTGTATTGTATTACACTTCGGCTGATTTGCAAAGTAGCACTTCAAAGGCTGAACATTTCTAAAATCTAAGAACATGCAGAAAAGGAAAAAAAGCACATACTGCCAGGCTGAAGCACTTTTTAATTCGACATCAGCTCTATCACAAATATTTTGTAGCTCAGTTTCTCTGTGTATAAATAAAAATATTTATAATGTCTGTCAACTATAGCTTCTATTTTGTTGGTAGACTATCACAGCTTGTCTGGATGCAGTTTTGAACTATGAACGCGCTACATCTAATTCCAAATACATTTCCGCTCCACAGATTTCTTAATTTAGTAATAACACTATTTTTCCCATTATGCTGTGCTCCACGAAAAATCTGTATTTTTAGTACCACCACTATCTTCACTGTTGAATTATTTTTAAGTGAAGTGATAAACTACAATAATGTCAGATGCTATATCTTTGACAAAATGATCTTTCAAAAGCTTTGAGTCCATGAATTGGATTGAAAAAAATAATCAAACCATTATTTAAATTAACTGGCTTTTTCTTGAAGAAACTGATATAAAACTGCATCATTTAACTGTTTGTGACATTCTTCTTCTGCTAGTGGAGGCATCTCACAAATATCCCTTTACTCTTCCTATGTGCACAAGAACAGAGGAAGGCAAAATTAAGCAAAATTAACTTGTTAGAATAATCATTTTACCTAATTGAAAAGTCATACTTCTCAGAGTGATATAAAAACACAACCAGGCATAACTGTCTTAAAAAGTTACTAATTTTTTAAATAGATGGTGATGCTTTTTCACAAGACTTTGTCTTCTGGGTTTACCTGTGGTCAGTGATATTACCACAGCCCCCAGAGCAGCTGGCAAATGTTAACAAGTTTCACATTCATCAATACTCTTGAGCAAAGGATATCAAGTACTGAATTTTTCATTAAACGTGCACCTTTTTCCAAAGCTCAGTGCGGCAGGAAGAGTTTGGTTTGGCGGTGGCGGGGGGGGGGGGTGGTTCTCTCTTTTTTTTTGGTAAAAAAAGTATTATCACAAGATAAAAACATATAGATTTACACAATGCAATAGATGGCAAGCCACTGAGGTGGCAACCACGAGAGCATTCAGACCATTCTATCTACACTCCACAGTGACACCGACCTCTCAAACTGTTTCCAGCAGGTGTTTCACACCCACCCAATCCCCCACGTCTCATGCATCCTTCTGACTGCAGTGACTCAATGTCCTGGTGGCTCCAAGGTCAGCCCAGGGCTTGAGGCTCATAGCCCAAGTTGCCAGCAGGGGCAACAGCAGTTGAATGCATTCAGACCGACGTATCCACCAACCATGGATCGAAAATATTTAGAAAAAAAAATTCCAGGGGCTCCCCTGGTGGCGCAGTGGTTGGGAGTCCGCCTGCCGGTGCAGGGGACATGGGTTCGTGCCCCGGTCCGGGAAGATCCCACATGCCGCGGAGCGGCTGGGCCCGTGAGCCATGGCTGCTGAGCCTGCGCGTCCGGAGCCTGTGCTCCGCGACGGGAGAGGCCACAGCAGTGAGAGGCCCGCGTACCGCAAAAAAAAAAAAAAAAATTCCAGAAAGTTCCAAAGAGCAAAACTTGAATTTGCCACACCTGGTAAATATTTACATAGCATTTGCATTGTATTTACAATTATTCACACAGTATTTACATTGTATTAGGTATTATAAGTAACCTAGAGATGATTTAATGTATATGGGAGGATGTGCATAGGTTATATACCAACATCTACCCCATTTTATGTAAGGGATTTGAGCATCTGTGGATTTTGGTATCCTTGGGGGTCCTGGAACCAATCCCCTGTGGATACTGTGATTCTCCCATCATTAACTACAGAGATCAGAAGGAATTCCTAGTCCCTGGCCACTCGTATCTGAGGGGAACAGGCTCTCTCTCAGATCCTTCCAGAAGGAATCCATCTTGCTGACACCTTTCCTGGCCTCCAGAACTGTGAGAGAATAAACTTCTGTTGTTTGAAGCCACTGACTGTGGTACTTGTTACAGCAGCCCTAGGAAACCAGGATGCTCCCTTCACTCCCAGAAGTCCCAGTCTTGATTTGCACGTGGAGAACCACATCTCTCTGGCTTGGCAAACTGGTCCTTGCAATTTTTAAAGCTTTTGGACAGTTCTGGAACTGACCTGGCACAGGAATGATTTGCGCATCTTCTCTCATGACACATTCCACTTTACTGTCCACTCATCCAAGGGGAGGTGATGGGGATGTGGTGGGTCTGGGTGGTGAGGGTGACAGGTTTACTTCTGATATGTCACATCTTCTGGGTGACATCAAGATGATTACACAGAGCTATGTAGGCTTGTCCTTAAATCCTGCAGCGCCCACCCCTGCCCGAGAGCCTACTCTCCCTTAATACTTCAATAAAATAGCTTAGTCAGACATCCATGAATTTGTAAAATGTCCAGGGCTTACATTTTCCAGGTCATTTTTTAAAATTTTTATTTTATATTATAGCATAGTTGATTGACAATGTTGTGTTAGTTTCAGGTGTACAGCAAAGTGATTCAGTTATACATATACGTGTAACTATTCTTTTTCAAGTTCTTTTCCCATTTAGGTTTAATCCAAATTCCTGTCTCCACTCTGGATGCCACCCTTCATTATTTCCTCAAAGCAGACTTAATACCAAAGAGTAAAGTGAGGAAGAGTTTACTGAAGGTTTGGGAAGAAAGGAGAAGGTGGCTACATAGCATGGAATAGGAAACAACCTAAAACTGAATACCAGGCACCATTCTTTTTTTTTTGCGGTACGCGGGCCTCTCGCTGTTGTGGCCTCTCCTGTTGCGGAGCACAGGCTCCGGATGCGCAGGCTTAGCGGCCGTGGCTCACGGGCCCAGCCGCTCCGCGGCATGTGGGATCCTCCTGGACTGGGGCACGAACCCGCGTCCCCTGCATCGGCAGGCGGACTCTCAACCACTGCGCCACCAGGGAAGCCCCAGGCACCATTCTTAAGAGACCCTTGGCCATCTTCCTCTCCTGGCTCCTG